ACGGCGCTGGTGTTGCTCGCGCGGGGACCCGAGGTGCTGCTGTCTTCTCTGCCCTGCAAAGGAGCGTGTTTGGCCTCGGAGTCAGGGAGCTGCGAGCTGCCGGGAGGGCCGTGCGAGGGCTGCGGTGGCAGCGGAGAGCGCGGGGGGAATCCGCCCTGCCCGCGGCCCGGGAAGGGAAGGTGGTGGCTGTTCCAGCAGGAGTCTGCATGTGGCTTTCCTCCTCGGTTAGAGTTTGGGACTCCTTCCTCCTCCGTAACGCATCAGAAGCTAGCGCGTCTGGGCGCTTCTCTTGGCGTTAGGTAGGATGTGCTGGGTTGATCAGTGATCTGCGTCGGGGCACCCATGTCTCGGTTCTTGTTTTGTTAGCAGGATTGAATCAGTTTTGCAGCGAGGCTTCCATCCTGCCAGTCTCCCAGGTAGAGGTATGCATAATTAATGATCATCAACACAGACACTTGCTTTGTTCTGATAACGAGAGCAAAATTCAGATAATTCAGCTGTCTGCAGTCAGCTGCATTTTGGTGGTTACTGGGATATGTTTTCTCAGGTGAATTAATTCTGCTTGATGTTGCTGTGTCAGTTAAGTGGGTTTCAGTGTACTTAAAAATAAAAAACCAAACCCAAGGTAGCCTTTTTGTCTCATTTAACCAAGGCAAGTCAAGTTACTTAAGGCACTGTAATTGTGAAAAATAACTCCACCACAGTATTTTGAGATGTTGGCAGTTTGCACTACTGTTTTTCCTCGTAATGACAGCACTTCTCTGCTTGTGCTCTGTCATTTGGAGCAGACTGTTTGATTCTTCTAGCACTCAGAGTGATGTAGGTTGTCGACAAAGCTTGTCTCCAGTTAATTTACCACTTGCTGCATGTGAGAGAGACTCTTGACTGTCTGAATGGAAAGCAGCAAAGTTTACTTTTGTAAGTGATGGAGAGAGCTGAAAAATTTAAACAAGTATCATATTTTCAGAGAATTTGAGAGCTGACTCTGTTTTGCATGGACTCTGCCAGATATAGTCAAAAATACTTGATGTGAGTCGTTGTGTTTGTATGGGTAGAGCTGAGCTGCAGCAGGTCAGATAGTTCATTTTTGCTTGTCTCACTGCTTCATTCCATAAGTGGTTTAAATTGGGGAAGAATTTTGACATGCCATGAAAAACCTGCTTATTAATCCAATGTAAATCGGGTTTGTTTACTGAACTTGACAGTTACTCTGACTCAAAACTGCATGCTAAATAAAGAGAAGTCAGCCCCTTACTCATGAGTAATGGGTGTGGGGGAGAACATAACCCGATGGTTGAGGAACTTCACTGCTGTTAAGCAATTTGAATTCTCTGTGTGTTTTAAGATCCCTGAAAAATTGCTGTTTTTTTCCTTTGAGCGAGGTGCCCATCACAGCAGGTATATTTTCAAGTGTATTTGTCTGTCTTTGAGAAACAAGTGGCTTATTTAAAGAATTTGAGAATGCTGGGTGCTGGATTATCAGGAAAGATGATTTGAAGTCAGACAGGCAGATAGTGATCGGGGCTTTGAAGATATGGATTCTGTCTAGGTACTTGAATCAATTCCCTTGTAGTTCTGGTCTCCTGTTTCGGTTCTGCATCTGGGAAGTGCAGGACTTCCCCTTCCTTCATCCCTGACCTTAGCACCCTGTGCATAGCCACAACTTCATTTAATCTGTATGCTCCCAACAAGTTAGGCATGTGCAGCAGTCTTTGTAGGATCCAAACTTTAATTACTTTCTGAAATGAGTATTGTTTTCAGGGCGTTGCTGTTTTTCTAATTGATGTCTGTCAAACTCAGCATGTTTATAGAGATTGTGGTCAATAAATGTAACGGTAATTAGAAAAACTGCAGACTAGCATTGTGGTTGTGTCATACTCAATCCTTTGACTAATAAGTAGTTTTCATTTCCTGTGAGAGGCAGAATTGTACAATCAGGAAGATGTGCAGATTTTTTTTGTAGTATTTGTGAACTTCTCATGCAATGCTAATAATTCAGGAAGTCATAGTGGGTTTTGAATTCTGTGATATTGGCATCGCTCGTCTTTCTTCTTCGGGTAAGACAGCAACTGTAGAAAACCCCAAATAAACAGTTCAGCAACTTCAGCCTTTAGTGTATCTGATTTAATGTGATTGTGTTCATAATTAGTTTTGTTTCATGTATTGTGAAAGAATTTTCATTTTTCATGTACAGTATGGCCCCAAACTCCTGCTCCCATTCCAGTGTAGCACCATTATATCGTAGTCTTTTACACTGTTGGGTTTTTTAGTGGATGTGTTTAGGAAGTACACTTGTTTATGGAGCCAGGCATTGCTTCTCTGAATTTCACAATTTCAAACGTAGCCTAGGCAGTTTTATGGTTCTGTACTAGTTTATGGCACTTACTGTGAAGTTCTAGGGATGCTGTTGGTTAACTGTGTTTGTGCATTCATGTTGTATCTCAAAAGAATTGGGCAAATTTTACTCATTAGTACTCGGGAACCATTTTATGTCTGCAAGAGAAAACACTGACCTTTTTATATTAAAATACTACATTTTATAAACATCTTTCTCTTGTCCTAATGGTGGGTGATAGTGAAAAGAAACCTCTAGCTAAGGTCACTGCATAAATGACACTACGAATGTGAGACTGTCTATTTTGACCTCTGTAGTTGCCATCAGCAGGTGTCCCTAAACTTGTCAGGAGACAGTTTAAATAAAGGCAGTTGTTTAATCACCACAGTAATAATGAAGTTTAGTTTGAAAGTATTTGGAGTACAGAGCTAGCATGGATGCTTGCTTTGGTGTTTTGGGGTTTGTTTGCCAGTTTTAAACTTCCTTCATGATTTGGGTATAATTTCTTAATGTGCTGATGAAAAAAGCCTAATGCTTTGTTTTAAAGCCAAGGCATACTTGGTACTGAATTTGGTAGAAGACAAACTTTAAGATTGGTTTAAGATGTCTGTTGTTTATATCAGTTTTGTATGGGCACATAAACATTATGAGGGTTGTAATTGTTGTTTCCTCCACTTCACCCCTGCAGGTTACACATGTCGAACCGTGGGAAAAGGGCAGCAGAAAAACAGCAGGCCAGACAGGGATGTGTGGCGGGGTAAGTAGAAGTACGTGCCTTCTTCAATTTTTCTGTCTGGTAAATTACTTTCCCAAGTATATGATGCTTGTATGTTGGCTCAGTCTCTAGGTGTAGAAGTATTTATTAGAAAAAGTAGATATATTCCTCTTGCTTCCAAAACTGTGGATGCAAGTAGTGTTGCAGTTTCTACTTCGCTTTGTTGGTACATTTCGATTTTATCCTCTGTTAGTTCTCATGTTCTTTTGTAGATTTGGGAAAATGTCTTTGTGAATTCCTGCGTTCTCACCTAACTTTTTCCCTTTGAAAGGTGCGTGGTGTTGGAACTGGAGGAATTGTGTCTACTGCCTTTTGCCTGCTGTACAAGTTATTCACGCTGAAACTCACTCGTAAGCAAGTGATGGGCCTTATAACTCATACAGACTCCCCATATATTAGGGCACTTGGATTTATGTACATCAGGTAAGTGGCAATATCATCAACTAATGGCTAGTTTAATATGCAGAAAGCTGTATTGAAATTTTACCTTCTTTTTGTACTTAAAGGTACACACAACCACCTACAGATCTATGGGACTGGTTTGAATCCTTTCTTGATGACGAAGAGGTATGTCGGCGAGGGTAATAATTTGTTTTCTTTTGTTTCTTTTCATGTTACTACTTTAGGTTTAAACTTCGCTTGATAAGGTTTTCTGTAGTTTGAGTGTTGAAATGTTATGTTCTTGTAATTTCATTAATTAGTGCAGGAAGCAGGTTTGAGCTGGGACATTGCAAAGATATAACAGAATTTTCCATTGGTTAGGATGTCACTGTGTCCAATTCACAAAACCGTGTGGAACATGCATCAATGCAGACAGCAGGCTGTGCGAATGTGGCTTCTGTGTGGTTTTTAAAATCAGAGTTGTTTCCAAGCAAGGTGTAGTAAGTCATGGGAGTGCTAAATTTGTCTTTTCTATTTATTACTGGGATGGGGGAGTTGATGCTTACATAAAAGAGTGGGAAGTATATAGTAGAAGCCAACATTCACCTTGGAAAATACTACCAGAGACATTTGTGGTTATTATTCATATCTTGGAATAACTAAACCCAGGATTTCTTCAGAGGAGAAGCAAACAGCCTGATTACTGCATAAGGTGGCATTGGAACCTTCCTGTCTTTGCTAGTGGGGTAAATAGAGATGTGAATCGCTAACCAAACCAGCTCATCAAAGAGCTGCATTATTGTGCAGTCAGGTAGGAGAACACCTTTGGTACCCTGGTCCTGATACACTGTTTGGAGACAGGGCGTAGGGAACTGGTGGGTCAAGGATTCTTGGGCTGTGAAGTTAGATGCACAGTCTGCTACATTTGTATTTATTGAGCAGGTTGTAAATTGCATCCTAGATGTAAGAATGGAACAGGAAGGATCACTTGCCCTCTGCAGTGTGACAGTAGGCATCTACTTCAAGAAATTTCAAATGTTATAGTTGCAAATGATGTCCAAATACTTGTATTAAAAAGTGTTACTTATACCTGCATATGGCTGCAACACAGTGTATTTATTTTAAACAGCTTCTTTCATGCTAAGTATCAAAAACACTGTGCAAAGGAAACAGCTATTTCAGGTAAACCTGTACTATTATACATTTTTAACAAAAATCAAACCTGGTTTGAATCTTGCTTGCATCACTGTGATCTCCTCCTCCCCCTGGTGGGGCTAGCTAACATGCAGTCCTCTCTGCAGTGTTGGACTAGCAGATGAGGATTGGGGTGGCTTCATTCTCAGGGTCCCACAAACTCAACTCCAAGGACAGTAGAGCGATCACAAGTGTGATGCATTGTGCAGGTCTTAACTGGTTCATTATTCAGACCACATCTGTTAGTTTATACATTTCAGTTCTTGCAGATATTGCTTATCAAGATGTATTTGTTTATTCTTGTTTGAAATCTCCCAATATATTTTTGGAATTAGTGTTTCTTTCCCAGCTGCCACCAGTAGCTTTGTGTTGTGTACAAAAACTGCTTGGGGCTGCTTCAGTTTCTTACCAGTCCTGGTCAAGCTCAATAGGATGAAGCAAATCTTTATATATGGAATTATTTAAACCTACAGGATCTTTTTTTTTCCCCTCCAGTTCTTAAATATGTGGAAGCAGTTCATCTTTTGTCATGCTGCTGTGAAAAACTTCCCAGGATACAGAGTTACTTTTCAAAATGCTTCTTATGTTTATTTTGTTTAACTGTACGTACTCTACAGGTGCTACGTTTAACTCCTTTTTTTCTTCTTTAGATCTCTGCAGCGATTATATTTGGAAAAACTGTATATCTGAACACTTAAATGTGTGTGAGTGCAAGCAGTTTTACATTTAGATTTTCTCTTCCTGTTTAGATAACAAATCTCACTTTCCTTGTGTGCTTGCACTATAGGTTTGGGACTGACAATAGCTGACTAACATGTCCTGAGCTGTGAGAGGGCATAGCAAGAAGGCCTTCATGCGGTAATGACCCTTTTCAGAGACAATGGTCATCATGGATTATGCGTTTCCAATTATTTGTTCATTTATTTATTTTTTTACATATTTCTAAATTAGAAACCTCACTGCTTCATGGCAGTTGGTTTGCTATTGCTTCCAATTCTGTTAGGATGCCATTTTGTACTAGAGGTTTTTCTATGATCATTTTCAGAGAGGCAGTGATGTAGTTCATGAATGATTTAGGCCACAGGGTTGGGTATGATGGTACACAGTTGTACATCCACAAAATGGAGTACTGAATGTAGTTTCAGAGGACTTCTCAACTTTGTGGCATTTAAATACAATATAAGATCATACTATATAACCAGACTGTGTAAGGGGATTTTGTTTAATCTCTTCGTGGACAGTCCCTTACCATCCAGATGGCTGCAGGATTAGTATGTGCCTGCATGCATATATATGAAGTCCCGTTCCCTATCCATAACATACTGCCAAGTCCAAAGGGTGCAGAGTTGGAATTTTTCTAAGGAAATATATTAGAATATGAGACAAGTAAACTTTCATAATCGTGAGACTTCAATAGGGCAGTAATGTAGCAGCATTTTTTTAAAATCAGTAAAGAATATTTTTGACCATCAGGATATTTTTTGCTTGTATTTTGCAGGACCTGGATGTGAAGGCAGGCGGAGGTTGCGTGATGACCATCGGGGAGATGCTTCGTTCCTTCCTCACTAAGCTTGAATGGTTTTCCACATTGTTCCCAAGAATTCCCGTGCCAGTCCAAAAAACCATTGACCAGCAAATTAAAAGCAGACCTAGAAAAATCAAGAAAGATGGCAAGGAGGGAATGGAAGAAATAGAACGGCATGTGGAACGTAGACGTTCAAGGTTGTATACACGTCGTTTTGAAAATGAATGCTAAAGGGTTAATATCAAACTAGTTCTTACCAGAAACATGTTGTCTTTTAACTGAGATACAAGTTTTAAGGCAACAGGCAAAGCAGTTTCTGGGTGATAATGGATTAAAATAATCAGATGATATTTGATGTTTAAGATTAAATGCAGACTGTATATGTAAAGTGTAAATTGCAAAGGAAAGAGGAATGTGTTTCACATCGGGTATCTTCTCTTTTAAAAGGTCTCCAAGACGATCCATCAGTCCCAGGAGGTCTCCCAGAAGGTCCAGAAGCAGAAGTCACCATCGGGAACCCCATGGATCATCTAGTTTTGATAGAGAACTAGAAAGAGAAAGGGAACGGCAGAGATTAGAACGTGAAGCGAAGGAGAGGGAAAAAGAAAGGCGGAGATCGCGGAGCACCGATCGCAGTCTGGAGCGGAGGCGAAGCAGGAGTAGGGACAGGTACAGAAGCCGTAGCCGAAGTCGTGACAGGAAAGATAGAAGAGACAGGGATAGGGAGAGAGAGAAAGAAAATGAACGGAGTCGGAAAAAAGAGAGAGATTATGATAAAGAAAGAGGTAGTGAGAGGGAAAAAGATCGATCTAGAGAAAGATCGAAAGAGAGGAAAAGTAAGGGTGATACAGAAGAGAGAAGACACAAGGATGACAAGGATGAGAAGAAACACCGGGATGACAAGAGGGATTCCAAAAAAGAGAGGAAACATAGTAGAAGTCGAAGCCGGGAAAGAAAGCACAGGAGTAGGAGCCGAAGTAGGAACACAGGTAAGCGCAGCAGGAGCAGGAGCAAAGAAAAGTCAAGTAAACATAAAAATGAAAATAAGGAGAAGTCAAATAAACGAAGTAGAAGCAGAAGCAGAGGAAGAACAGATAGTGTTGAGAAGTCCAGAAAACGAGATCAGAGTCCCAGCAAAGAAAAATCCAGGAAGCGCAGCAGAAGCAAAGACCGTTCCCACAAACACGATCACAGTGATAGCAAGGACCATTCTGACAAACACGATCGTCGAAGGAGCCAAAGTACAGAACAAGAGAGCCAAGAAAAGGAACAGAAAAACAAAGATGAGACTGTGTGAATTCTTTCAGAAGTGGATCACATTGAATCCTATAAATGTTTGATTAAATCCTGCTTATTTTTTCTTAAAGTTGAGATTGTGCAGTAGTTGATGAGCACTCTTCTCCAACCTCCCTCTAGGCTGCAGATTGTCATTTCCTATTCTGGGTAGGGAAGTGCCTTTGTAAACCCATTCAATGCATTGACGGTTTCAAACCATTTGTTTAGTTTAATTTGTAATGCAGAGATTGTTCTTGCATTTTTATTGTTCAGATGTTTCTGAAATGTACAGTCTGTACATATGTCCTGAAAATGTTTTAATTCCTTTGGCATGGTTGCCATGTTGGTTAAATTTGTATGAGGCAATAAACTGCCACTAATTCTACTTTCCTTTTGTAGACGTGGAATTATGGTTTGTATCCTGAAGTTAGCATGGCTGTGCTTTACATAATAGTATGGCTTTTAGGGATGGATCTGGAATGTGTATTATAGCTGAGATATTTATGTGCATACAATGTGCATTGAGGGCTGCAGATTTAGAACTAACATTTATGTCCACTGTACCTGCTGTTTTCTCCAAAGCTTTTACCATGTATTATGTTGATCACCAGTGGTGTTAAACTGAGAGTCGACTTTGAAAGAGATAGTGGTTTTGATGCAAGGATTTAGATTCTGTTGGGGCTTGTTTAGTAATTCTGTAGAGAGGCTACCTCAGGCAGACACTGTAAAGGTTGATGGATGAGTACCGTAGCCATCTATGCATTTTATTTGTTTGAAAAAATCCATGTAAGCTTCCTTTTTTTAAAAAAAACACACTTCAACCATATGTGGTCTTTTAATGTTTTTACTCAGCAGCTACACTCCATCATTTACAGTAATCCTGGGCTAATAAAGGCATTTAAGATGGGAAGGGGGAGGTAGGAAGAAGAAAGTGATGACAAAGGATTTCAGTTTCAAGCTTCCAAAGCATTTTTATAAGTGTAAACATTTAAAGTAAGAATTAACTGATAGTGTCCTTTTTTAAGTCATATTTTCTACAAATAGTAAGGATTGCAGTTTGTGCTGAACATTTCATCTGGCAGATTTTTTTTTTTAAAACAGGTTGTTAGAAGCAAAAACCAAAATGCATTATAGAAGAAATATCATTAAAGTCCAAGTCTATTTGATAGATTATTCTGATTACTTGTATACTAAGTGAGGAGAACCATCTGGAATAAACTCTCAATTAATTCCTTTGTATTGAGTGTCACCTTTTCCCTGCATGTTCATTGCCAGCTGCAGAGTGTTTCGGTTCCTTCACGTCTCCTTTTCAGACCAAGTGACACTTTGTATGAATAAGGGATTTTGTGTAGTAAGTACCTTATAAGGAAGATTTAGCTAACATTTAGCTAAATGCAGCAACCCCAAAATAGGAGGAACATGAAGTGTGACTCATTCATGATCATGAAGTGACCTGAAGGTAGAAGTAAACAGATATTTGTGCCTTTTTGGCTCTTGTGTGATGCAGGTCATGTAGGTGTATTTTAAAGCTCCAGGAGAAAACAAATTGTTTCATCTTCTAACAGTACACTTCATTCCATAGTATTCAAAGAAGCAAACTCTATTTTTGCTTTCTCCCCACTCTTATTGTTTTCTCGACTGTTAATCTTTCCTTTGCCATCATGGTCCTTAGTAATCAAAATCTATCAATACTGAGGTTGTTGAGGTATTGTCTGCTTTATATTTTTATTACCTGATTTTAAATCTGAGCTTTAAACAAGACTTAATCTTGAACAAGTTCAATTCCCTTTCAGTGTAAAACTAGCTCTTGTTTAATATGGAAGAAAAACTGTATTGATCATTTAAGACATACACTGTCTAGCAGATTAGTAGAACTGTCTTTGCAGTCTGCCAAGGGATTGCATGGATTCTGTCAAAACAGGGAGGGCAACTTTATCTTGTTTGTGTCTAGAGGGCTGCTTCTGGCCTCGTTTTTAACCTTCACTTTCTTAAACAACTGTGTTGGGCAGAGAGGCTGCAAGGCCAGAGTTATGTCAAGGAAAATGGATTACTGATTCCCAGTTACTCCTTCAGGGCTCCTCCTCCTCTGCTGTTGTTGGGAACTGCAGTGAAAGAATGGTTAATTTGCAGGAAAAATGCAGGTATTTAAGGCACAGTCTTTGACCTTGAAGCAGAGAAGTGCTATCTTACTACAATGAAGGTGGTGAACACTGTGATGCAGCTTGTGCACAGACTGGCCTGTGCCAGTGGCTCTTTCAAGTGTGGTAATTTGAGGGCTGTGCTTTTATTTTCCTTTAATAGGTAGATAGTCCTTTTTGGCTTTTGGATATAATACGATCTGCATTATGTACTTGAGTTAGCAGTGTAATGGATAGCACTACTCACTATGGACCAAGACCCATTAGAATTACTTGAACCAGAACACCCATCTTAAGTTGTCCTTGGGATATAGTATCTTGCAGCTTTTGGGTTTGGATCCAGGGACTCTGGTAATTCCTTTTTGTCTTTCTGATGCCATTTTCTTTCATGTGACTGACCTTGAAATGAGAGGGAACAGTGGCTGTGAAAGCAGCTGTGAGGGGCAGGGGTAAGGTCAGTGCCCGCTCTGACGTGGTTGTTGTACAGCACAGCCGCACTGCGCATGGTGCTTGGGGACACTCCAAGAAAATTTCTGCCCGGTTTAATTGTACTGTGAGAGTTTTCCCCAGGAGCTCTGCACCCTTCAGTTATCAGGGTAAATCACAATGAATAAAGCACTATGAACCTGAAGTTCTCACAGTGTGTGACATGTCCATAGTTCCCTAGCTGGGATAGTTATCCCTTGTGAAGCCTCAGCTGTCTGAAATTTCCTGTGGCTCCTACAAGTAGGTACTGGACTAGATATATTAATTGAAGAAATATATTTCTACTTTGTTTTGGGGTGTTTTTTTTAGGGTAAATCACAATGAATAAAGCACTATGAACCTGAAGTTCTCACAGTGTGTGACATGTCCATAGTTCCCTAGCTGGGATAGTTATCCCTTGTGAAGCCTCAGCTGTCTGAAATTTCCTGTGGCTCCTACAAGTAGGTACTGGACTAGATATATTAATTGAAGAAATATATTTCTACTTTGTTTTGGGGTGTTTTTTTTTGTTTACTTAAGAAATATATTTCTACTTTGTTTTGGGTTTTTTTTTTTTGTTTGTTTTACTTTAAGGCAAGGGCTTGGCCCCAGAGATTCACATTCACCTCCTGCCACATAACCAAGCAGGTAGGTAGTGTCAGTACAGACTTGTATGTATCTGACATTTAAACATCGTAGGAATAGTAGTTTGCCTGTCCACATTGGAAAAAGGTAACTTGAGTGGCAGGATGATTATCACACTGAGGGTACTGAGAACAGCCTAAGTTTTGAGCTATTATTTCTGTGTCAAGTACAATTACAGATAATTTGTATTTTGAACAGTAATATTTTTTGAGTGTTCATATTTGTGTAATTGCAACATACATTCTTTACTCATTCACCTTTATTCATTGAGGTGAAATTTTTTATTAAATAAGCATTAATGAAGGCATCTACTGTGAAACAGCCTGGGTGTTTTAATTCCCTGATTTGTTAGTCCAGGTGATTTCACAGATACTGCTCTAAGCATCCATTTTACGTAGTATATCAATTGGCTGCTTACTTCTGAGTCTTCAACAGGAATTTTCCTGGTTCTCAAGTCTTCTTTTAAGAGGTTTGTAGGGTTGGGTTGCTTGGGTTTTGGGTGGGTTGGTTGGTTAGTTTGGGTTTTTTTGTTATTTTAATGTGGGGGGTATTGATTGCTTTTTGGTTTTGCTTCATGAAGACCAGAGCTTCACACTGGTACATAGTATAGAAACTGTATGTATGAAAACACTACGCCTAATTGTCCTTTCCTGTGATCTGAAGGCAGCATGACCCATAAAAACATTTGCCTCAATCAGGACAGAACCTGCAGTTAAGCCTGACCAAAATTTTTCAATCATCTTGGTGAATGCCAGTGACATTTCACATATCATCAGTGTAATTATTAGACAGTGTCTAATGCCTGAGTAACAATGCCTGCAAGATCTGCAGAGCCACAGCAGGAGGAGTGGATCTGGCTCAGTTTGGTTGTGTTGCTTTACCTCCCTGTTTTAGTTAATTGTGTTCATCTTCTAACCCTTTTCTTAGAGCTGAATCAATGTGGGTTTTTGTTCAAATTGTGACAGGCTTTGGGTTTTGGCTTTTTTTTCCCCCCAACAGACATGCAAATGATACATTCTGTTACAATTATGCTTCATTTCAATCATAAAAGCGAGAGGAGCTGACAAAAATAGTACTACAGCACTGTCAAGTTTGTAGTGTGTAATTTTGAGATGTTAAGGTCTGTATACAAGGAAGAATTGAGAAATTACATAACAGTTTATAATGGCTCATAACACATTAAACTTACTGTTAGAGCATGGAATTATCAGGATTGTTTATAGCAAAAGCAGAGATCTGGGTCTTGAATTTGGTTCCAAAAGAAACTGATGGCTTTAGACCTCTGAAAATAGTTAATTGTCACCAAAGCCTAAGTGTTTAACCAGGTGGCTGTTTGACAGTGCTGTCTGCAAAGAAAGAAGTATTTAAATAAAACCCTCGAGGAAGAAAGCTGTGAACATTACTTATTTTTATATTCTTTTTTAAGTTAAATGAGAAATAAACCAAACCTTTTATTAACTAATGCAGGGAAGTTTTAAGTAATGTTTCCTAAAGAAGGACCTGTTTGACCAGGACAAAATGAAGATCATGTTGTAAGAAGCAACATGTAATTCCTGGGCCATGTACATATCAGGCTTATACCTAGGATATACAAGCCTGGTGAAGCTTTATCCCTCCAGTCCCAAAGATTTAATCAACAGGAAAAGTTTGGTTAATACATCCTAATCTGAATAGCAGTTCTTATAACTTACCTCCTTATCTGAACCAGAATTCTCATCTAGAGATGTTCTGCATTGCTCTTTCCTCTATAAATCACTGTCAAAGAATTTTGAAATTAAGACAATTTCAGTTATGGAAAAGCAACTGTCTTGAGAAGTTTTTGTTTCAGTGGCTGCTTTTGAAGTTTACATAGACAGGTAAAGCACAAGGCTATCCTGCTGGAACCCCAGAGGAAATTACCTAGAATAGGTTGAGGTAAGCCACAGGTTTTTTTACCTTTTTTAAAATCAGAAGAGCAACCCTGTTTAATTTGTGATGGGATATCGTGAGGCTGTAAAAGATAAGCCTCCCTTTTATTATGTGCTGTCAGAGAAATGAAGTCTTGTGGCCATGTCTGATGGTATACAGGCCATGACAGAGGAAAGGGATTTTTTTTTTAATCATACATTGTAAGATGGGGGATGAAACAGGTCTGCATAACACTAACAGAAGCCTTGACTATCACATATGCATCCTACATGAAGTTACATGATGCAAACATATCATACAAACTTCATGAATTTAAAATTAATGTACTGTGTGCTTACCCATTCCAACAGAGCTTCCAGAACATGTTACTGAAATGACATGAAACAGTGGTATGAATGTTAGGAGTCATGTAAGCTGGAAAACTAGTCTGTAGAATATAGTTTATCTATGTAACTGTGCAATCCCATCAGATAGCAGTAGTTTTATAATGGATTAAATCCATGCCCTGGGAAAGGAATCTCAAGGTGATTACTACCCCTTTAAACAAATTTTACTTTAAAAATGTGCTTAGGAGTGGTTCATAGAAGTTACTGATTTGTTTCTTTATTAAAAATTAAATTAGAAAACAAATATCCTCATTTATTTGCTTCTGTATTCTAACCACTCCTAACCTCCCTAACAAAAATCAACTTTTCTGTATTCACCAGGTTATGGGTGATGCAGTTGAGAGGTACCTGTGTAGGTAAGTATGCCCAGTCCCAAAATGCTCCTGTGAAGTTCCTGGCACAGACAGTGCAAGACAGCACCCATAAAGTTCACTCTGTAACCAACACGACCAGAAAAATTGCATTCCATGCCACCTTTACCTGCACAACTTTAGATCACATGTTAACCATCTAGCAGGCATGGACAAAACCAGATCAAAGAATTATAAATTTTACCTGAATATATTTTTTTAGGACAAAATGTGAGCTTCAGCCCCTTATCAGTGACCGGAGCTACTACCACTGTGTAGACATCCCCACAAGGTATCTCGGTGATGTCGCAGTGACTTTGACCCAAGCTGGGGGCACAGGTGAAATTGCCTTTTGAGCCATGTAAATCAGTGCTGTAGTTTATGGTTTCATCAGCAGCTCTCCACAACACCCTGATGCCACTACTGCTGAGTCTGAACAGCTTCACCCCAGAAGGGCAGCAAGCACCTAATAAAGCACAAAACATTGATAGGAAAATTCTGTGAACTGACAAACTAGTCCTAGAGTGCATTTCAAACCAGATTACTATGATTACCAGCATTTCAATGAGAAATTATTTCACAGAAAGCCAACCTAAATTTTGAACTGAGCTAGAGAAGAAAATGTTTTATCAGACTCCTATTATGGAGCTGGCATTCAACCATTGTTTTACATGTTGGAATATTGTTGCTCTCACCTGGCACAAGGCCTAGATTAGAGTGCACAGAATCTTTGTGAGTTCTCTAAAATGTAATTATGCCATAGCATAATTTAAATGAAACATTTTGTTCTGGAGCATGCTATTAAAACTTCTTTATCTGGCCACCTGATGGCTGTCATAAGAACAGGTTTTAAATGCCATGAAAATAATCCAAAGTGCATTTATTTAAAAGAGGAAACTGCAAGTGTATTAACTGTGTACTGAATTCCAGCTGTGCTGTTTGTATGAGAGGAACACTATACAAAGGACATTGTATATTGAGTCTTTTTCTTCCCAATTCCATTTACAATTTACATACTGGAAGAATATCCTTGGTATGTGCAAGTGGATGTCAAACCCGTTTCACTAATTGCTTGCAGAGACACTGTATAATTGGTGCCACATGTGATACATCCCAGGAGACAATAGTTTTGAAGAGTGTGACACTTTGCCTGCCCTTTTGGAGACTCCAGCGTTGTTAGGTATGTCTGTGCACCCATCCCAACAGACCAGCTGATATTTGTTACAGACTGGGTCACTTGAGTCAGTATCAGGTCATTAGGGCAACAAGGAGCTTGAAGAGAACAAAAAATAGAGAGGTCAGTTACGGTTTGTACTTGGAAAATGGAAGGTATTTGGGGGGGTTCAGCTAGAATAGTACATGATCAAGAGCAAAGGAATGAAGATGAGTGTACTTTTCAGGCAAGCACTAGCATGCTGAAAAATACTTGACTCTTCTGGCAAGCTTCCAATAAACAATAAATGTCAATATAAGATCAATTTGTCTCTAACAGTGAGTTAGAACCCTGGAATTACTGTAACATCATTGTTCACCAAGACTCTAAAAATTACTCAGATTTTCACCAAAGTATCAGAGTATCCCTGTAGTTCAATTAAGCAGGTCCCATCTCTGCCCCTGGAGTTGTATTGCTCAGTCCAGCTCTGTTCAAAGTCTCTTCCTCTACAACAGAAAATGCCTGCAGCCAAACTGCCTGTTAAAAATAGACCCTGCTGTACATTAATCTCTGTACTGGGCCTGGGGATTGTCTGGGTAAGTGGTAGACGACAAA